TGGTCTCATGTGTTAAATCAAACAAATTTTTGAGTAAAATTCTCTTTTTTTTCTTCCTAGTCTCTTCCATACCAATATAATCTGTTTTAACATCAACAATGGCATTAAAGTCCCCTATCAAGCAAATATTTTCTTCACCTACACTAATTATTTTATCATACAGTCCCTTATAAAACTTCTTCTGGTTGTCATTAGGGGCATATATCCCCACTAATAGTAATTGTTTTTGATGTAAATTAATTTGTATCATTAAAATTCTGCCTTGTTCATCTGCATAGATTTTTTTTTGCATTTATCCCTGTTTTTACTTAAATTGCTACCCCCTTTTCTTTTGATCTGCCAATGCTGTAAATAATACACCCAACTTGGGATATTCTAGATATTTTTTATGCTGTTTTTGGATATGTACTTCCTGTAGGCATATAATATCAACGTTTTGTTTAGTTAATTTGGTTAATATTTGTTTCCTCTTGATCTGGGAGTTTAATCCATTGATGTTTATTGAGAGTAATTTAATCTCTTCTTCCATTGTTAATTCTGAGTCTACCTAAATCTTCTGTTTGTTCTTGCTTCTCTTTGGGGCCTTGTTTTTAGTCCTTCTCTCCTTGGGTATTCTCTCTTTGCTTTACCTCTCTCTTCCTGGTCCGTTTCCTGTATTCCCTGTTGCTGATCTTCTTGTTAGTCCTCCTGACTCTTGCTTTCTGACTCTTCTTTACTGCTCCCCTCTTCCTCTGTTTCCATCAACTGATCATAAAGTTCTTGTGCCTTTTCAATACTATCAATTTTTACTCTTCTTTCTTGCCACGTCACCAGCATTCCTTCAGGGTCCAGCCACTGGAACCAGATGTTTCGTTTATTCAGTAGTATCGCCAGAGATCTGTAGTCCTTCCTCAACTCTCTTACCCGCCTCAGAATTTGTTTCAAGGTCGTGATCTCTTTTTCTTTATGCACCATCGGCTCGTCCTTTGTGATTATATATACAATGTCTCTTACATTTTTTCTGGCGAACCTGATGTGGACCTCTCCAGGCAGCTAATTATTTCACTATTTCCTGCTGGTCCCTTTGCAGTGCCTCTGCTATTAAGTGGGACATTATGTCTCCCAGGTCTTCATCTTTGGATTCCAATACATTTTGGAACCTCAAACAGAATGCTGCACATTCCATTTCGAGATGGATAATCGAATCTTCTAAGTCTCTGTTCATCTCTATTACTTTTCTATCCATCCCTTCCAATCTCTTATCTGTTTGTTCAGCTTTAGTTTCTATATTCTTTGTTCTTTGTTCATTCTTCTCTAGTGTCTGTTGGGTCATTCCCATCTTCTCTAAATGTTGAATCTTACCCTTCATGTCTCCCATTTCTGTCCTCATATCTGTATGGTTATTAACCATTGTCTCCTGCATTTTAAGCATCATTTCCTGAATAGCTGTTAATGTTGCTTGCATCGTCTGCATGTTGGCCATGTTGCTCATCTTTTCCATATTCAACATTCCTTCTATTGTTTTTTGGCCCGCTGGAGATGCAATAGACATTGATGAACCAGACATTGGTTTTTTCCCTTTCAGGTTCGCTATTGTAGTACTGGTCATATTCCTAACTTTATTGTAGATATCTTCCCACTTTACCATTCACTGTTTAATTTTTCTTTTGTTATTAGTTCTATTCAGTAGTTTCCCTTAGAATATAAATATCTTTTCCCACTTATGATATTCTAAATTATTCAGATTTGATTCAATCTTTTATAGAATCTGAAACTAACTGAATCACCAAAATTAAAGAAGATAAAGAAGGGAGAGAGCTAAAGGGATGACAGGAAGGATAATATCAAAATGAGAGAAAAAAGGGAGAAAGAGTATGATATAATATCCTAAAATATACTTGCTGTAAATTGTTCTTATACAACTATTTTATATACTATATTATGGTACATCAACTGTATTCTTTATCTTTAACTGTAAAGTTCGGTTTCCTTTCTATATTCCACTTCTTATATATATGACCTTACTTATTTCATTAGTTGTTAGTAATCAATCAATCAATAATCATCAAAATAGTATTTCACCAGTTTTCAGTTTCATATCATTTAAACTTTTAAATTCTTAATAAATTCAATCAAACCTTAATCAAAATGTTATTTCATTAATTATATTCTATGAAAAGAAGTCCAGTAATATTCAATCACTTTCCTTTCCTTGTCCGTTCACGTTTTGTTTAGTCACAGTCTGTTACATCAGCTTCTCTGTATAATCTCAAAATGTCACTTCTGTTCTTGGGTTTAGTCCTGTCTCTTACTTTTTTTCCACTGTTCTTCTTTTACAAGTCACAAATCCATCAGGTTAAACTCCAAATTCCTAGATAATCAGTCTAAATCAACTCCAAATTTTTCAGAACAGGTCCAAGACACCAGCCAATCTTTAATCAACTAAATCGTCTTTGATCTCTGTCTTAAATGTTCCTTGCTTTCACCGCCGGATCGCCATTTCCCTTCAGACTTCTGTCCTCTTATTTAAGACTCACAGTTCTGCCATCTCTGCTGTTTCTCTCCTCGACTTTCACTTTCCGCCTCCTTCACTCCAAGTTCAATCCATCAATTGATGCCAAAAACGCTGTTCGTACTCTGGTATCTTCCTCATTCGGCTAAAGCGCTGCGACTTCGGTCTGCCATCGAGATGGCCGATCACTGACACGTTGGAGCAAATGAGGTCTCCCTCGAAGCTGTCAACAGCCGCCGCTGTCAAACTTCTCCTCAGGCTTCCTTACACCTTCGTCTTCCCCTCCAGGGTCTACGTGCCCCTCAACGGGGCCTCCAAACATGCAGACTGGGGATGAGAGAGCAGAGCTTGCTCTTCTCTCCCCACCCCGCCGCAGCGCTGCAACCGGAACCACAGCACAAGTTCTTATCTGGATTTGGTGTCTAGAATTTTCTTGAAATATCTCTTCCCTTTAACTTAATTAGCTGAACATCTCAGATTCCTGGGAAATTTTAATTTTAATCAAAAGCTCTTTTTTTCCTGGGTTTTTTCATCATTTCCTCTAATTCTACTTTGTCCTTAAGTCACTCTTAAATACAGCAAAGATATCTTTGTTATTGGAAAATTCATTTGATTATTTTCCTGGAAGAATGGCTAATCAAGTTATGCAACAATCAGGGTGGATAAAAATTGATTTAAAAAAAAACAAACCCAGCTTTTTAAAAATTTAAGTCAGATTTTTTTCTTTTTTATCACATTTATTTTAATAAACTGTTTTTGGAGTAAAAGTTGATCTAAGATTGTTTTCTATTAATGGTTTAGTTTATTTAGCACAAAATGGAGGTTAGTTATATAGCCTGAGGCTGTATATTCTGCAATATTTACATTTTTGGTAAACCCATTCAATGAATCTAAGCTGTGCAAGCTAAATAGGAAACCATTTTGTTTGCAAATATTAAAGATTCTAACTACCAGCAAGAATGAGTCCTTACATTTAAAAAGCTCCTGTCATTTCAGATCCATCATGGCAGCGCCTGTTAGCAGACATCCACTCACCTGCTGCCCATCCCATCCCTCACTTTGTTGTGTCACTGCCACATCACCAGCCATCCCATTAAAGTGAATGGGACTGTCAATCAATGGTGGGTCAGAGGAGGAGCCACTGTGGGACAGATGACAGTTGGTCTTTAAAAGTTATGATTTAAATCAAGTTGATTTAAATCAAGCCTTTTTACTAGTGATTTAAATCTGATGCAGAATTCCATTGTAACTGGAAACCATTGTTGGGTTATTACAGGTTGGTGTTAAACCAGGTACCCTTAGTTGAAAACTCAATAGTGAAAGTTTTTGCTTTAAAAATGATTTAACACATTTCATAACTCAAATATTAAATAACAAGGATTATACTTATCTCTGGGAGATTTTAGGTTTAATGTTTACTTACTTGTACTTTACTAATTGCATTCTACCATTTTATTTTTTACACTTATCTGTTCATGGTTCATTTCTTTTAAAAAGTACTCAAATTTTCTATTCCAAGGAGAGAAGGAAGGCTGGATTAGGTCTGTCATGACAATTAAAAAGTGGATCTGATATTTTGGAATGCAGAGTGATGTTCCTAAGATCTCTGCTTCCATACTATTTTTTTTTTTGCAGCCCAACACTAGTAACTCTACATAATTTAATCTAACATAATTGTTCCCTCACACATCATTCGGGGACTAAGGGATAATGAGCGCATCGATTCTGACAACTTTGAGCAGCTTAAGAAATAACTGACTAAACGCAATAGCGCAAGATGCAGAGGCCAGCGTGCCTACCGTCCCTTGTCTTACTGTCCCCATTTATCTGTATTTACTCCCTTTGTTCGTGTTTATGTTCACACTTACACTTATCTTGTACCTGTATGGCAAATAAATAAAACAAATAAACACACACCAGAATCCCGTATTAAGCAGCTCTTACAAGATCCTTCCAAGTAAACTCGTTCTGAGGCAAATAGACTCGTTGAGTCTATTTGCCTCAGAATGCAGTTTCCAGTGGTTTAGCAGCTTGTAGCAAACGGAAAGCCTCGAAGCACGTTGTGGCTCCTAAAAGCCTGCTCTTCTTTTTCAAACTACAACTAAAGGCAAAACCAGGAAACCTTCAGCAAAACCGATTCTAGCGCCATCCACCCCTGGGCGGAAAACAAAACGCGATTTCGGCAGACACCGCTCCTGCGTCCCTTCCACCCGCGCGACCACCGGCGGCCTCGGCTCCTCGGACCCCCTCACTATAAAGCTTCGCCAAACGAAACCGGAAACCGGCGGACGCACATGACCTCGCTAGACTGAAACGCCGCCCTCGCTTTCCCTTCCTAGCGTGGTTGGTTTTTTTTTTTTTTCCCCCTTCTCCTTTTCCCGAAACTCTCGCAATCCGAGACTGAACTGGTCGCCGAAGCCAGGCTTTGCAAGTGGAAGAGGAGGAGGAGTGCCTCGGGAACGGGTGTCCTGGTCAGCGGGGGAAAGGTCCGAAGGTGGGACCGAGGGTGAATCGAGGCTTGTGTGGTGGTGGTGGTGGTGGTGGTTACAGCAAAGAAGCGGGATGGAGTGGAAAGCGGACTCGAGTCAGCAAAGGCGGAGCTGGAAGGGCGCGTCGTGTATTGCGGCGGTTTGGTTCCCTTCGCTCTTCTTGAAGGTTCTGTGACGTCACTCGATCGCTAGCACCTACCTACCAGGACTGGAAGGCGCTCTTGCGCTTTGGGGCGCCTTTCAGCTCTCTCTGGAAATACCAAGGGAAACGCCTCGGCCTTTTCAACAGGCTCCGCGCTTGGTTTTTAAAAACCACGAATAGGCAGCTCGGCCTCTTTGGGTGGGTTCCAAAGTTGTTGTTTCCTCCCCCCCTCCCCCTCAGCAAAGGCGCTCTTTTGTCGCACGGCTATTCTTTTTTGTTCTGGAGAAAATCTTTTTATCAATGGGGTCTCTCTAGAGGTCGAAAACGTTTTGATGGCACCTACCCGATTATTTTTGTTACTCCGACAAACCTTAGAGGATCCCTGTAGTAAGTATTTTGTGTGTGTTTAGGGTGGGTGGGTGCTGCAGCAGTGAATGGATATTATTTGTGACCTGGGTCAAAACCAAGCGGTCCATTTCTTTTAAGACAAGGCTCTTCAAACTTGGCACGTTTAAGACTTGTGGACTTCAACTCCCAGAATTCCTGAGCTAACTTGACTGGAGGAGGAATTCTGGGAGTTGAAGTCCACAAGTCTTAAAACTGTCAAGTTTGAAGACCCCTGCTTTAAGACTTTGGTCATTTGGATGTCCGTTCTACTGTTCCAAAGAGTTTGTGTTTCCAGCTTTTGAAGCCTCTTAACCATCAAAGGATACTTTTGCAGTCTTTTGAATTAATAGCATATGAAATCTGTTTAGGGAAATTAGAAAGTTTCTGGTGTTTTTTGTTTTTTTTTAACAAAACATCTTTCGAAAGCCTGCTTATGGGAATTCATTGAACATAATATCTTAGGCAGGACAATAATTTGTGATACACACACCTTTTCCTGGCCTATATTTTTAACCTACTTTCATTTCTTTGATAGATAAAATAATTTCCAAGTAAGCCAGATTTAGGAAGGGGAAACCTTGCTAGTTTTAATGTTCGTATGAAACCAAACTTAATTATCAAGAACACCATTCATGAAAATTTATAGCATAGTCAGAAAAAAATATCTTTCATCCCTTTTTTTATAGAAAGTGAATACTATATTTCTTTGACTCTTTACTGGACAAATGGGTTGTTTTTTGCTTCTGGCAAAAACTTGCATACATTTTTCTGATTATTCAGAAAATAAAATTATATCATGTGACTAATTAAAAAGATACCAATTGCACCTGGCCCTTTGGAAGACTTTACCCTTTAAGCCTAAGCAGGAGTTTCCAATCTTTTTTATACCCTGCACCCCTAGAATGCTTCTAATATATTCTTGCATCCCTTAAAAAAATAAATAATTATATGCATGTAATTATACATCTACACTATAATTTTGAAACTTCTAAACCCAAGTTTTCGCACCCCCTGGAATATCATCTTTCGCCCTCCAGTTGGGAACCCCTGCTTTAAGGTAAAATCCGCCTCCAGCCTCCTATGCTTTTGCAAAAGCGCCTAAGGACCTGATTCTGCTGGTTGGCCTGGGGATCAAATGGGGGAGTTCCACACTGGAGGTGGCTGCTAGATTGATGGCAGCCTCCACCTTCCCTCCAGTTGTGCTACTCGGAAGGTTCTGACCAGTTCTGGAGAACTGGTAGCGTCTGACTGGAGATTTTATAGTATCCTTCCCCTGCCACGCCCACCAAGCCACGCCCACAGAACTGGTAGTAAAAAATTTGAATCCCACCACTGCTTCCCTCCCTTTGCTCTCTGCTCTCCAGCCAGCCATCTTTTTGGTTATCCTATTGATGTATTTATTTTTGTTGTCTTCCTTTCTCATTGTTTATTTTATTCTATTTTACTCCTGTTTACGCCCTTTCATTTTTCTTTCTTTTTATTATTGTAAGCTGCTTAGAATAGCCCTACAGTGAAATAAGTGGCAAATAAATTTAATAAATAAATGAGGTGAAAATATAACCGAATAGGTGAGATCATCCAATACTGTGAGATGAGGTATCATCAGTACACCGCTGATACTCAACTTTATATAACCGGTGTGACACAAGTGTTGCTGTCATTTCTGTTTCACGGTGTCTGGAGGTTTTGGGGGAACAACAGACATCACTTAAATCCTGGCAGGACTGAGTGGAGCCTTGAGACCTAGTTTAACAACTTTAAGTTCTGGATGAGGTTATACTTCCCCAGACAGATTCTGTGCACAACCTGGGAGTTCTAAACCAGGGATGTTAAACTCGTGGCCCATGGGCCAGATGGGTCATACGCTGACCATGCCTAATCCCCATTTTAGTGAATGGGGAAAATACGTCATGTGATGTGACACGAGTTTGACACCTTGTTCTAGACTCACCTACTCAAAGAGCAAGTGGCAGTCGTAGGGGGGAGTGCATTTACTCAACTTCGTTTTGCACCCTTTCCTGGATTGTGAGTCCCTGCACTCAATCACTCATGCCCTGGTCATCTAATGCTTGGAGTACTGCAGTGTGCTCGACATCAGGTGTCTCCAACTGTGGCAACTTTAAGCCTGGCGGACTTCAACTCCCAGAATTCCCCAGCCAGCAAAGCTTGGAGTTGCCAAGGTTGGAGACCCCTGCTATACATGAGACTACTCTTGAGGAATATTCAGAAGCTTCGGTTGGCACAAAATGAAGCAGTGTGAACAGTTTAGGTGGCCCGTGTAACAAATCTGTTGTGTAAACTGCACTGGTTTCCAGTTTGATTCCAGAACCAATTCAAGCTGTTAGTTATCACTTTTAAAGCCCTTTATGACATAGCTCCGGGATATCTGAGGAACCATATCTCCCCAATGGGATTGGCCCACCCCACTTGTGCTAACAAAAAGGGGATGTTGTGAATCCTGTCAGCCAAGGAATTGTGGCTGGTGGAGTCCAGGAGGAGAACCTTTTCTGCCTTAGCTTCCGCCCTTTGGAACATCATTCCCGCCTAGATGTGAGATCTACCCCCCACCCTCTCAGCCTTCCAATAGGGCCTCAAAACGCTGGAGATGGCTTGTAAATTCGATAAGATCCCACCTCCACACCTGCTTAGTCACTGGTCCTTTATTTAATGTATTGTTAATGTTAGCCATTTCTGTTTTAAGACTTGATATTTTTTTTAATGTTTCCATTTTAATTGCTCCTGATACTGTAAACTGCCCAGAACTAGTGAGATGGACAGCATAGAAATCCAATCAATCAATAAATAACCATTCTTAATAAATCTGATTGATGTATTCATGCAAATAATTTGAGCAGTAAATTTTTTTTGGTGGAATAAAATATATTTTGCATATGTCTTTTTAGGTAAGATTGCTGTACTAATAATGTAGCTGAAAGTCATGTCTTTGCCCTGTGGAACCAAGAGTCATAATTTTGATATTAGGGAAGCAGCAGCAGAGGAAGAGATGGCAAGTGGAATCATTAGGGCAATATATGATTAAATCAATTATGTACTTACCATTATTTTTTCAATCTTTACCATTGCCATTTTGTTAATTTTTCTACCAGTGTATTCTTTGATGCTATACAGATAACAGATAACGTTACTTCTTGCCTAAGCTGTGCTGAAAACAACTGTAGCTTCACTGCTCCAAGTGAAGTAAAAAGAGGAATAGAAAATTCAGAAGGGGAGAAGCTATTTTGGTCCAAGAAAAGTGATATCTGAAGCCAGAGAGGTTAGGGAGAACTTGAAGTTTTCCAGCACAAGATGCTATGCCATGAGCTACGGTTTAGAAATGACAATGACTGAATCAGAACAACAGGCCAACCTGTTGTGTGGCCAACAAGCCACACAATCTATAGTATGACTTGATTCACACAATATCTTAAATTACTGTGAACTTAAGGTGAACTTACATGACATCATTTTCCTCTTGTCTTGCACATCTTAGCCATTTTCATTGAATCTTTCAGGCTGTATAAACCTGAAACTGCCACCTTTAACTTCCCATTAACTGCAAGTAAGATTTCAAGTTAAGCTTTCTTTATCTAGCTATTCTAGATTTGTGCAATGTACTTAAACTTTGAAAAGTTTAATTAACAAGCTGAGCAAGACAAGGTTAAGATGATGGTGGTGATTGTCTATGTTGATTCATGCTAAGTTATTACATGCTGCATATCAACCCAGTTGCTAATAGCCTAGTGAGATTTATTGAGTGGACAAAATTTCATTAGTAAAGATAAGAATACCAAAGATTGATTTATTCAATCTCTTTACATATCACTGTCTTTATTTTAAAAAAAATATTTATTTATAGAACAGAACAGAACAGAACATTCTATATTGGCCAAATGTGATTAGACACACAAGGAATTTGTTTCTGGTGCATAAACTGTACAAGCAACAAAATGATAAATCATAAGATACAACCAACAAAGTGATAGCCATAAGATACCAATAGGAGTAGGTAATAGGAAAGATGAGAAGAATAATAGCAATACAGCCATACTACATGAGTAAATATCCTTAGGCATAAGATAATGCTGTGGTAATTAGGCATTTAGTAGAGTGATGTCAAGGGGTGAAATTGTCTTTGTGTCTAGTTGTTTTCGCATGCAATGCTCTATAGCAGCATCCTGAGGGGAGGAGTTGAAACAGTTTATGTCCAGGGATATGAAGGGTCTGTAGATATTTTCTCAGCCCTTGTTCTATATTTCTTATGCAGTATAGAGATCCTCAATGGAAGGCAGGCTGGTTGCAGTTTTTTTTCCTGCACTCCTAACTATCAGTTGAAGTCTATACCTGTTCTGTGGTAGCAGTGGTAGAATTTTTAAAAACCAGCTAAACTAATAAGTTTACAATGTATGTTTTAATAGTTTGTAAAGATTCGAGAGAATATTACATTTGATTTAACTTTTAAAGTAATGTATGGATCAAATATTTTTCTCTGGGCACTATATTTCATGGCAGGGGTGGCACTTCAATGAAAAACTGATCAGAAACAGGAAAGGATCCTGGAGGAGTTTTATAAGGAAGAAGAGAGCCTTTCAGGTGAGGTCCGTGATGAGATTAGCCTATTTCACTCATAATAGACAGTTGCTTATCATTATTTTCATGTGTCTTGGGCTTTTAAACTCTTTCCCCCTTCCAAGCCACAAGGAAGAGATTGGAAACTTTTAATTTCTGTTAAATACTTTAGCATGGGAACCTTAGTCTTCCTTAAGTGTAATTAACTGAAACTAAACTGATTTATAAACTGTGATTGAAGTTATTTTGTTTCAACTTCCAATAGTTAAGACCAACTGTACTGCATTTTGTTTAAAGACAATGTTTAACTTTTAAAATAAGTAAAAGCGTTTGAATGTTTCCTGGAATCTCTACTTGAGATGAAAAGATTTCATAAATCAGAAAATTTCATAAATCATAAATCTGCTGCTGTCCATTTGGGTATTGATGAGCTCTCTCTAGTGACTGGAGCAGATTATTCAGTCTACGGTGTCTTCATAATATATTCTAGAAATATGTTTATCATCCACAGATCATTTAAATGTCTTCAGAAGACAAGGAATCTCAGGAGGATGAACTTCTTGCTTTGGCAAGTATTTATGATGAAGATGAATTCAAGAGAGCACACGATGTACAAGGAGGAGAAACTCGAATCTCCGTGGCTGTGCCTCAGAATTTCAGAGTATCTCTGAGTGGTAAGTCCAACTCCTTTTTAGATTCTGATTTTCTTGAAAGGTATTCTAGTACTGCCAAATATGGAACATTGATTGATCGATCAATCGATCCTATTTCTTAACTACCTGTCTCCCTCAGAGTTATGCTAGCCTGTGCAAAACGTAAGAGTTGGCTTACACGATATTTCAGGATATATGTTTCAGAGTTATCTGTTTGAATATATGTGCAAGGCAGGAATTCATATTTTGCACACACTTCGGACAGTTTTACGTTGTAATCCAATCTGAGAATAACATGACTAGAAGACAGTATTTCTAACTCCAAATTCAAGCCCAAATTGATTTTGATGGAAGTCAAAGTGATTTTGGAAGTGGGTGAAGAGGGCTAACGGGGAACGTTCAGGAGCCAGCCAGATTTTTTTTCTTTTCTTTTTTAATATTTTTATTGTCCTTTTTTCTTTTTACAAATAACAAGGCATCTTTGTTACACACGCTTTTCCATACATTTCTAATTATTCATATACATTTCTATATCTTCTTCTAATCTCTACAATTCTTATTCCTATTGTCCATCCATTCATACCAATTTCCCCCAACCGTATAATACTCCAAGCCTTCCTTGCCTTTTAACTCTAGGGTGAGTTTATCCATTTCCGCACAATGTAAGATCTTTTGGATTGCTAGACCTTCTGACGGTATAGTATCCTTTTTGCAACATTGTGCAAGTGCCATTCTTGTTGCTGTAGTTGTATGCAAGATGATGTATTTATTTATTTTATTATATTTCCCCTTAATTATCCCTAAAATTCTGGCTTCAATTCTATTTGACATTTTATAATTTTGTACAACCATTTTTGTATTTTAATCCAATACTTTTTTACTTCAGGGCATAGCCATCATGAGTGAAAGAAGATACCTTGTCCCTCTTTGCATTTCCAACAACTTGGGTTCAGATTTGGGTACATTTTTGCCAACCTTGTTGGGGCCAGATGCCAATGATAAAACATATTGATTTTCCTTGAATGCAGCGGACTTTGTTACTGTATAGTTTTTATTCCATTTTTTTCCCCCAATCTTCAAGTTCAATATTATGTCCAAAATTTTTGGCCCATGCTATCATGGGTCCTTTTACTATTTCCTCTTCCATGTTGAATTTTAGTAAATAGTTATATATTCTTGATATATATTTTTTTCTGGGCCTAACAAAATTTTATCTAGTTGTTTTAATTAGGTATCAAATCCACATTTCTCTGCATCTTTTTTATATCATGATTGGCCACCAATCTATAATTATTCCCTGATCTTTTAATTCCTGATTGCTTTTTAATGTTCCTTGATTATCTAAAATTTCATTATATCTAGCCATTTTACTTACATCTAGTGTATTGGGGTGGATCATTGCCTCCATGGTGGATAGCCAGCTCGGGATTTTCATGCAATGTTTTTTCTTAATGTATTCCCAGGTCTGTATCAAGGAATCTCTCAATTTGTGTCTATAAAAATACAAATGTGACTTGTTTCTACTTTTCCACAGGAAGGCATGCCACCCTATCTGTAAATCATGCCCTTCCAAGGGTTAATTATTTAGATTTACCATTCTCTAATCCATACCAGAGCTGCTGCCTCCATCCAGGGTTTTCTTGATACGTTATGTGTGAGACAGAAGATGCGAGATCCTTTTCTCTGCATGATAGTTGTGGTGAATCAAGAAAGTGGTTGACAAAATAACCCTGTACCCTAACATAGACGGTTCTGTGTTGTACAAAGAGATGCCAACACATGGGTCTCCAGAGGTCACTGAACATCTCCCATGAGTCCTAGTCTAGATCACCAATGTTGAAGAAGTGGATGGGGATTGCAGTCTTAACTATATTTAGAGGGCCACATTTACTCAACATGCCTGAACTAAAGCAACATTTGAAGGAATTGTCATGGGAATTTCTCAATGGAAAGGTTTTATGGAAATAATATTGAACCATTCAGTTAAATAGCATAACTTGGAAATTGGGTGATCAGATTAGTCTGTAAGTCGCCCAGAGTTGCCTTGCAGTGAGATAAACAGCAAACAAATTAAATAAATAAATAAATAAATTTTGTTTCAGGCAACTTCACAGGGAGTCTTGAAAACAGCAAGCTTGAATATACAGTAAGCTTTCTGCCTCCAATAGTGCTGAATTTTGAATTCCCAGCGGACTATCCTTCAACTTCCCCACCTGTGTTCCTTCTCAGTTGCAAGTGGCTGTCTCAGGCTCAGGTTTGGCATCGATCTTTTACACAGCATATAATTTATATAATCCACCAGGATGATAAGGAACATTTATGATAAGGTTTTTAAATGAATGATTGGTGATCTTGTTGCAGCCAAGGGAAGATTGCTAAAAGGAAGCATCATAATTAAAATTCAGGTTAGCTAGGGAAAATAATATGTGTGTTAAAACTTCTCATAAATTATTTTTAATTATAATGTCAATAATTGTGACTTTAAAACCTTAATATTATTTGTATAGAATATTTGGAAATTGTATATAAGTAATTTTTGAAGTTGCGTTTTATCTCTGCAGGTATAGCAGTCCTTAATGTTCAGATAACAGCTTCATGTGGAGCTTGAAATATGGATGTAATACTATTAAAATACTGTTTCTTTTCATGAAATCTTGTTCTTTTAAGGATATAGTAAGATTGACTTAAGATTTGTGGGGGGAAATGTTTTTCTAACTCTTCTTTCTACTCCTCCTCTCTTCCAGCTCACTGCTCTTTGCAGGCACCTAGATAACTTATGGGAAGAAAACAGAGGTTCTGTGGTCCTGTTTGCCTGGATGCAATTTCTCAAAGAAGAGACACTTGCCTATCTGAATATAACTTCCCCGTTTGAACCAGAGATAACTGAGCAAGAAAAACAGCCAAAGGAAGAAGATGGTTGCTATGACATCAGAGATGCTGCATCCGCACATAAAGAATCCTCTGATACAAGCACTGTAGAGGATGTTGAATCTTTGTCAATCCTTATTAAGGAAATTTTAGACTTTGATCAGTCCCAAAAGGAGAAGAATTTCAACTGTAAAATGTTCACGTGCAATATCTGTTTTTCAGTAAAACAGGGAAGCGAATGTATGGACTTTAAAGACTGCAGGCATGTGTACTGCAAGATTTGCTTAAAGAACTACTTTGAAATTCAAATCAAAGATGGACAGGTCCATTGCCTGAACTGTCCAGAACCTGAATGTTCATCTGTTGCCATTCCTGGGCAGGTAAAAGAAAAGACAGTTATGGGTCAGACATGGTATGCATCCTGCCCTGTCATTGGAACATAAAAATAGTTGGGCATTCTCCAGAAAGGAAAGCTAGTACAGGTAGCGACTTATGTCAACTTGTAACCACAATTCAGCCCAAAATTTCTGTTGCTAAGTGAAATATTTAAGTGAATGTTGCCCCATTTTACCACCTTTCTTGCCACAGTCGTTAAGTGAGTTGTTAACCATAGTAACATGGTTATTAAGTGAATCTGACTTCCCCATTGACGCTGCTTGTCAGAAGGTCCCAAAAGGGGATCATATGACCCTGGGATACTGCAACCGTCGTAAATATGAACCAGTTGCCAAGTGTATGAATTTTGATCGTGACCATGGGGATGGCTGCAATGGTCGTAACTCACTTTTTTCAGTGCTGTTGAAATCTTGGTCACTAAGTGAACTGTTGTAAATCGAGGACTTAAAAATATACTATAATGACCAATTATAGCAGTGACTACCTATGTTGTTAAAATGATTCTGGCAGCTAATATTGTAAGTGCTTAAAGAGATGACCATATCTTTTGCAAAAGAAGTAGGATCCCAAAGAACTATGCCAGAGCTTTAGTATTCACCTAATTTATAAGAACAGACATGTGTAAGGTGGTTTGTCCTGCAGTATACAAAGGTTTATTATTTTATTTTGTTTTGTAAATTAACTTTTCGATAACTTTAGAATTTTGGTCTAAGCTTAGGGTTAAATATATGTTTCTACGTTTTCTAATGAATTGGCCCCGGTATAATTCAGTAATATTCTGGAGTCCTTTCTAAATCTTTGAAGTCTTTGGATTGTTATTAACTAAGACTTGGAAGCAGTGGTGGGATTCAATTTTTTTTACTACCGGTTCTGTGGGTGTGACTTGGTGGGCGTGGCAGGGGAAGGATACTGTAAAATCTCCAGTCAGAGATGGTATTTGCCGGTTCTCCAAACTATTCAAAATTTCAGCTACCGGTTCTCCAGAACTGGTCAGAATCTGCTGAATACCACCTCTGCTTGGAAGTATGTATTGATAAGAAAATAATCACTTCCAATTTTGATACAAACTGAGGGTAATAGCTACAGCTTCTGCAGATCAATTGATTAGTATCTTTTGTGCTCTTCTGTCAGATTATTTTCATAAATATAATATAGGATAAATCTTGCTACATCAAAATCCTCTAACATATTTCATCACTTGCCTTGAAGGTGAAAGAGCTGGTGGAAGAGAAGCTATTTGCACTTTATGATCGCCTTCTGCTTCAGTCAAGTTTGGACTTGATGGCCGATGTAGTCTATTGCCCACGTCCAAGCTGCCAAACCCCAGTGATGCAGGATCCTTCTTGCACTATGGGCATCTGTTCACAATGTAATTACGCATTCTGCACTTTGTGTAAAATGACCTATCATGGAGTTTCCCCTTGTAAAGTCACTGCAGGTGGGTAACCATAAAGGACCTTGCATTCAGTACTCTCTGAATATTAATGCTTTATATAAGAGAATTAGTGTAGTGTTGGAGAGTAAGCTCTTAAAATGATGGACTGGCACTGAGGAAACTCAGGTTCTCCTCAGCTTTTGCCCATAACTTATCTTTTAGATAACGAAAACAGTCCAAATGCTATGGCCATTCATCTTTGTCAACAAAAGTCCAGTAAGGGCAGATGCAACTGTTTTTTTCTTTTAACCCTGGTCAAGCAAGCCAATCTTATAAACTTTCCTGAGTTTTTAAAATTATTATTTGAGTCCTTCAAAAAAAAAAAAAAGGTAGAAGTAGTTTGCTGATCATCTGTATTTCAAAACAATAATCCTTAAAACCTTAAACAGATTTCTTTTGTATCAATAAGTAAACTTGATCTTTTTGTTTATTGCTTCTAATAAAATCCTTCCAAATCTTAGCAGAGCTCTTTTGAATATGCAGAAGAAGAAGAAAAATCCAAATCGGTTTCCTGGTGTATTAGCTTCATCTCCTTCAGGGAATAAGTCATGTGTCAGACCCATTTAAATCCCCCTTCAAATTAATTTCATAGGCATCCATTGCAGCTCTTTTTATTTAATAACTTTACTAGAATATGGTCTTGTCAATTTTATCAAGCGTTTGATCCTTTCTTTCCAAAAGCTTTGCTCAAAGGTATTCAAAAGTTTACACTAAGGATTTCTCCTCCATTTTATTTTATCCTCTGACTCTAATGTCTAACCTTCAAGGTATCCTTATCACAAAAAATCCCAAAGCAATTGATATTTTCCCATAAGAAATTATTCTAAATCAGGAGTGTCAACCTTGATTCCATTGAGAGCCGCATCAGTGTTGTGTTTGACCTTGGGGGGCTGGGGTGTGCATGGCCAGGATGGGGGTGTCCAGCTTGATGTTACCCCTGTTGGGGGCAGCTGTGGTGCCTGAGCGCTCTGACAGTGAAAACGGGCTCCCAAGCTCCGTTTTTGACTGCAACAGCCTCCTGCAACCCTCTGCAGGGCCTCCCGTGGTACTTGCATGCTCCATTTTTGGCTGCGATGGCCGCCTGCAACCCTCTGAAGTGAAAACGGAGCTCTCACGATGACCCTTCCGAGCTCCATTTTTGTTGGCAGAGGAACCTCCGGCCAGTCCTTCACTGTTTTCAGGGCAGCCCTGCAGGCCAGATCTAAGCACCCTGCGTGCCACATCCAACCCCCAGGCCTTGAGTTTGACACCCCTGTTCTAAATAATTTAAAATTATAATTCCAAATTCCTCTGTCCCATTAATCCCTTGTTAACTTTTCACAATCCATACAGATAAGCACCCTTTTGTTGCATAAAGAATGGTATAAATATTATTGCAAAAGTTTTTAAAATATGTGATTTTGGGGGAGGGATTATGCAAAGCAGCTTGATGTAATCCCGACTCCCAGCCATTCCACTGATAAGACAACTGAAAATGGTAGTTTCTGCAATCTACTCATGACAAACAAATGTTTTGATCATGAAGTCATGAGTCTCAACTATCTTTGTTCTGGAGAAATTATGCTGGCTTGGATCCAGCATCTAGTTGAGATTTGCCTCATAAAAGCCATTTTGTTAGCTAGCAAAGGCTAGCAAGACATCAGCTAGCCATGGTGCCAACACAGGAAGTGTTTTATTGATTAAAACATATTGAAATAGTAGGGCTGACATCCTCTGAAGAAAGCATTTTTGCATGAAGTGAATTCTTGATACCTATGTTGATATTCAGTATTTCTTAAGAAAAATATGAAAAATATTCTATCCCATGTTACTATTTTATTACTGTTATTTATTGAAATGCATGAGTTTGTAAAACGAATGACTTTTTTTGTGAAATGGGTAATATATTTATACAACTTTATGCCATTTTCTGTTCTTAATGCAGAGAAGCTAGCAGATTTGCGCAATGAATATCTTCAAGCAGACGAAGCCACACAGCGATTTTTGGAGCAACGCTATGGCAAAAGAGTTATTCAAAAGGCTTTAGAGGAGATGGAAAGTAAAAAATGGCTAGAAAACAATTCCAAATCATGTCCTTGCTGTGCAACTCCTATTGAGGTAAGATCATAGCAAAGAAGGGCATGACTGAAAAATGTTCTGGAGACTCAAAATATGTTAATTTAGCTTTTTATGAGCAAGAATTTTAAAAAACTGCTTTGAATTCCTGTGGATAGCAGTTTTTTAAAATATCAGCTCAGTCCAATCCTGACTATATGCTAGGATCATATCCACAGTAACTTTTGGTTGTGTTGGGAATGATAGGATTTTCGTTGCCCCTTCCTGTGGTAAAAACCTGTAAATGGTAAGAAGGCTGTTTCTTAACATCTAGAAATACCTGTCTTATAAACTGAAAGAAAAACACTACAAATACATTGTCTCAGATTGTCCTTATATAATCAGCAATAGAACTAGTTAGAAACTGCTAGAAAAATGTTAACGAGACCAAGAAGAACTGAAATATATCCACACTTTTCATCGTCAAAGCATTTTCCAGTAATTCATACAATATAATCTTGAAGGGAATTAAAAGTCACTTTTTCAATTCAGTTTTCTCAGTTCTTTCCACAGGTTTTGAACTTAGGTACAGTTTTGAACTTAGGTTTTTCATTCAATAAAATTATTTCCTTCGTTTAAGAACACCACTTGAGAAGTTGGAAAAAGTTTCTGGAGAACGTTTTCATATTAGTTTTCAAAGACTGCTCTTTGTGGTACAAACAACTCTGACATTCTTTCTCTCTCTCCCCCCCCCCCTCTCTCTCCCTCCCTCTCCTTCTCTCCTCCCTCCTCTCTCTCTCTCACACACACATACCTGTAAGTACCTGTATCAGTTTATGTCACTACTGTTGATATGCTTCCTAGCAGCTGAGAATAGAGGATTGTTGACAATGGATTTTTCTGTTATTTCTGAAGCTCCACTTTGGCAATACTATGAAGTACTGTACAGGGAGTCCTCAACTTACAACAGTTCATTTAGTGACCATTCAAAGTTATAGTGGCACTGAAAAAGTGACTTATGACCAATTTTCACACTTATGACCATTGCAGCATTCCCTATGATCACATAGGGAATCAAAATTCAGACACTTGGCAACTGACTCATGACAATTGCAGTTTCTTGAGGTCATGTGATCACCTTTTGCAAAACCAGTCAGGAGGCCAGATTCACTTAACAGCTGTTCAACTAATTTAACAATTGCATTGATTCACTTTAACAACTGTGGCAAGAAAGTTTGTAAGATAGAATAAAACTCACTTAACAGCTGTCTCACCTTGCAACAGAAATTTTGGGCTCAATTGTGGTTGTAAGTCAAGGACTATCTGTAAGTAAAAATCCCATTTAGTGCTTCAGCTATTTAGAAAAGACAGGTAGAATTCTCTTCTTTATAACAGTCAGACAGCATTTATTGCAGTTTCATGAGTTAATACATTAGGAATACTGAGTTGTAAATAGTATGAGGGAGTAGCCTCTACATCTTTTATTTTCCATTTAACAAAGTACAGTGGATCATAAAGATTTCAAGTCAAATTGTCTTTTTCTCCTTCTTTTTCCCCCCAGAAGTTAAACGGCTGTAACAGGATGAGGTGCACTGCTTGCATGCAGTATTTCTGTTGGCTTTGTATGGGTGTTTTATCAAGGATAAATCCATACAAGCACTTTAGTGATCCAGACTCACCATGTTTTAACCTGTAAGTAACCTTTTTCTCTACTGAAAGAAAAGTGGAATTTCACTCTAGATCTGAGTTTACAAGAGTTAATAGGGTTTGCATTCTGGAAGACTTTGGGATCTCTTACTACAAAGTAAGCAAAACAATAGGTCAACATTTTTCAAATTTGGTAATTTTAAGATGTGTGGACTTCAACATCCTGTCTGGGGAATTCTAGAAATTGAAATCCACACATACTAAATTTGAAAAACACTGCAGTGGTTAATAAATTGAAAGCTGGTTAGTTTGGAGCTTATTCCACAAGTTGGTTAAAGACTTTGCTGAACTATTGTGTATAACACAAAAACCTTTGACCTTTTTGTCTGCAAGAGACGATGATATTGAAAAATTAAAACTTGCTAAAATTATTTTAACTGCTTTGAAATTTTATATGGGACTCTTCATTGGAAAATAGTAAGTTCAGTAAGACTGCATTCATACATTGTACTAATCCATAATGTGACTTGTTTGATTTTATTTATTTAGAGTAAACCCAGCTAACTTTAATAACTATGATTAAACTATAGCTTAGCAAAATACACAATACAGTTTACCTTCATTAGCATCGCAGCAGATTTCCTACCCAAATTTAATATTTAACCAAATTTTAAATAGTACTGTAGTATTTAAATTTGTGCCAAAAGCTAATGCTGAAGCCAACTTCCAAGCTGACTAAAATGTCACAAAATAAGGGGTTCTTTCTGAGCTTGGTTGTCTTCTTCCAGACATTCAGTTGGGCTGTTTACTGTTGTGAGAGCAAACCCCATCCCTTACTGATGAGATGATGTTATCTAGTTTGGGTAATAAAATGTCTGCAAGAAAACCACCAAACTTAAAGAGCACCAAAGATCCACACTTCAACCCTGAGCTACAATATTCTCCTCTATCAGGGTCACAAAACAGTTTGCAAAATGATGCATTCCTCACAGGAGTAGCTGTAGGAGCTGTCAACAATA